CCTTCCCCATGTAGCAAGAGAGGAGCAGAGCTGGGATTTAGTTCTAAGTCTGCCTGAGTCTAACGTTCGAATGATTCATGTATTTTTAAAATTAAATTTAAGTGCTACTAAAAACATACATACTAATGGGGTGGGGTAACATGATCTTTCAATACTGTGTCATTGCATAATGTTTGTACATATCTACCTCCTCAAACATTTATCATTTCTTTATAGTTAAAAGTTTCCAAAATCCTTTCTTCTGGCTTTTAAAAAGGTACAGATTATTACATCATTCACAATCACCATACTTTACCATTGCACTCCAGCACCTCTTGCTCCTCTCTGTGACTTTGTACTCGTTGATCAACCTGCCCCCATCCCTCCCCGTCACACTCTCCCCAGTCTCTGCTAACCACAATTCTAACCCTCAACTTCTGAGATCAACTCTTTCAGATTCCACATCTGAAGTAGATAATGCAGTACTTGCTTTCTGGGCCTGACTTATTCTATCATGTAAAATATCTGTGTTATTGTAAATGGCAAAGTTGAAACTATTAACTGTGGTATTACTGTGCCTTTGAAGTTTTTTTTCTTTGCTTTTTCTTTTTTTTGGTACTGGGGTTTGAACTCAAGGCCTCACACTTGCTAGGCAGGCGCTCTACTGCTTGAGCTGTTCTGCCAGCCCCTTGTTCTTTAAGACAGGGTTCCTTATGTAGACCAGGCTGGCCTCAAACTTGCAAGGATCCTGCCTCACCTCCTTAGTGCTGGGATTACAGGCATGAGCCCTAGGTCCAGCCTAAGTTTTCTTAAAGTGAATGTAAAATTAGAATTATCCAGAGCCTGATATTTTCTCTGTACGCAGGCTGCATTATTTGATGTCATGGTAGGGCCTGTATTCTTACCAGTTCCTGGGCTGGTGCTAAGTGCAGACAGTCTTTCACTGCAAGAACCAGGGGCACGTGGAGACACTACAGAGGTGCCTTTTAAGTAAAGAAGCTGGTAAGCTGCTGGGCACTAATTCTAAATTCATGGTGGAGCTGCCTCCTTCTAGGTACTGTTCTCCTTCATCAACAGCCCACTTAAAATGGTGTTGACCTCTACCTAGGGATTGTATTTTTCATATCTCATGTTTCGATCATTAAAAAAGAAAGAAAAAAGATTGTTGAACTGAGACTCTCTTAAGTGTGATAGATTTGAAAATCTTTGAGACTCATTGCACCCTTTGGGGTACATTAAGTGCCTTTTGCGGTGCATGAACTGACTTTGTACACAAGATCCTTCAGCTATGTAGAGAGAGGCTTTCCTTTTGAAAAATCATCTTATTATTCACACTGTGCACATTTGGAAGTGGGCTTATGGTGAGGAATCTCCATCCTTTGCTGATGTTTTTAAAATCTGGTGGCTGTTGCTATGGGGAAAGAGCTTCCTTTTCTAAATAAGAATTTGGTACTTTATTTATTTTATTTTATTTTATTATTCATATGTGCATACAAGACTTGGGTCATTTCTCCCCCCTGCCCCCATCCTCTCCCTTACCACCCACTCCGCCCCCTCCCTCTCCCCCCTACCCCCTCAATACCCAGCAGAAACTATTTTGCCCTTATTTCTAATTTTGTTGAAGAGAGAGTATAAGCCATAATAGGCAGGAACAAGGGTTTTTGCTGGTCGAGATAAGGATAGCTATACGGGGAGAATTTGGTACTTTAAACACCATATTCATTCTCTTACCTAAAGGGAATGTTATCTCTTTAAAAAAATTTATTAGTGTGAATTAGTTGCACAATTGTGCATATAATGTACTTGATCAAATTTGTCCCTCTATTACTCTTTCTTAACCCTGCCCCCTTTTTAAGACAATTTTAATGGGTTTTGTTTCTTGTCTTTTCATACGTGCATATGAAGTACTTGGATCTATTCATGCCTTTCACCCTTTCCTTCTGCCCTCCCATTGAGGAACAGCATCTCTTATCACTAGAATCCCAAAAATGAAAACAAAACACTGCCTTTTCAATTTCTAAAGCTAAATTATTATGGTTTGTTAATTTCTGGCTTAAATGCCAATGTAGAAATAAATTTTAGTGTCAGAATTTATGCATCAAGTATTGCACTAGCAAAATGAACTTTAAAAAAAACTATTTTTTAGAGCAAAGCATTAAAAATGTCCAAATTCATATAAGGTAATGGGGGAAGAATTTAAGTTCTCCAGCTTGATGTTAGATCAGATCTCACCTCTGTCATTTACAGATTGTATGATCTCACCCAAGTTACTTAAAATATCTGGACTTTAGGTTCTTCATCTATAAAATAGTTTATAACAAAATATTATATAATATGAATTAAAATATTTTATGAGGCTATCATAAGAATGAAATGAGCTAATGCCTGTAAATTGCTTAGCACCAGACTGGGCCAAATAAGCATTCAATAAACAAGAACTTTACTCATAATTTACTGTAAAGTATAAAGTGCAGCCTAAATTTCTGTCAGTTAACTTAGATCATATATAGTATAATGTAATATAATATAATATAGTACAATGTAATATAACATAACATAAATTAGTCAAAACATTATTCCATATTGCATTTTATTGACAGTGTGTGGCCACACTTACCCTTTTGTAACGTCAGACACTGGGCCCTGGGCAGGGAGCATCAGACACTGACAGTCCCCTTCTGTTCTTCCTCGGCCTCTGGCTTCTTAGCTCCATCAACTGCAGTGGGGCAGTGACCTAATTCTTGTTATCTGCCTTTGGCTGGGAGAACGACTGGGCAAGAGGCATGGCTGATATGTTTCTGCTGAGTACAGGTTTTTCTTTCAGTTATGAATGACCAAGAAATTCAGTTAGCAAGAAACACTTCAGCCTTGCCAGAAAAGTTATAGAAGCCTTCACTGTACTGTGCTGACTTTTGTGCTTGTGTCATATGCTAAATATTTTAGAGGTTCCACAGTTTGAAGACAGATTAAGGTAGAAAAGAGGAAGGATGCAGTATTGGGGTCTATCTCTTTTGTTATTAGAGTGTGGTTCTGTTACACATGTACTGTGGGAGGAACACTGATACTAGGGTAGAAACAGTAGCTGAGTTTCCTGAGTGCTTACTATGTATGGCACTATTGCAAACATGTTATATATATGAAGTCATTTAATCCTCACCATACTATTATTATTCACCTGTTGAAAACAGGCGCAGATGATTAAGGAACTCCTCAAGGCTACAGAACTTCAAAAACTTTCATCAGTCTATAGTTTCATGCTGCTTCTACCTTACTGACCATTTTATATCAATTTTAAATATGACTTTAAAATAATCAATTCCCTCAAGTTCTCAGCTAGGGATATTTTCCTGGAGAAGGAAAAAAGGTCCCCAAGTTTAGAGGCTCATCTAGGGCCTTGGATCATGAGAAGACAAGGTTGTAGTTTACATGACAGAGACAGTGAACAGGGCTAGAAGGAAGAATGTTCTGCTAATGGAGTGATAGATTCTGTGGCTTTTTTTTTTTTCTTCTTTGTTTTTTGAAATAGGATCTTTGTGACCCAGGCTGGCCTTAAACTCCTGGGCTCAAGCTGCTCCTCCTACCTCAGCCTCCTGAGTAACTGAGATTACAGGCCCTACCTCCACACCTGACTTGAGGCTTTTTTGGAATGAAACATTTTGTATTCATTTCCAAAATCAGAGTAAAACAGCATTTTTAGGAATGGTTAAAGTTCAGAGATTGGGATGGGAGAGAGGGAGAATAGAATGACCAGACTTCACCTTCAGAGTCTTTGTGAAATGAGGTAAAACAAATAAATACCAAATACACATCCTGCAGGGCTTCCCTCACCAGCTCCCTATACTGACCAACACCAAGCACCCTTCTTGGAGAGTCTGTTCTACCCCTCCATAAGAGTTTCTTTCATGACAACTCTTACTTGGAATGGAGCCTGCTGTCCACAGGAGAACCTTTATTTAGAGAAGCCATGTAAGGCAGTTGATTGAACTAAGAGTATCAGAGACCATGGGGTGAGTAGAATATTCCCTCCAGTGGAGAATGACACAAATACACAGAGGCAGCCAGCCCTGGCTTCTTTGTGGCCAAGGGGCTTTTGTCTACCGCAGAGTAGAGCAGCCTTTGAGGGCTGGGTGGAAGCTCTGAGCTTACAAGAGTGTACACCTGCGCTCTCCCAAGGAGGACCTGTCATGAATATCCCAAGGGGGGGGGGCAGGAGGATACCGTGCTATGAGGGGGTGACAATAAGGGACCCTACACCCTTTATGAAGGCTTGAGGAAGTAGAGAGGATCCAATGGCTTTACACAGGTGGTAGTGGAAATGAAGGCCCTGAGTGAGCGCCGAGGTCCCATTTTACAAAAACGAGAAGCAGGAAGTGCCCTTAAGGGCAGGTTGACCCAACTTCGTGCTCCTGGGCGTTACAAGGGGTTAATAGGGAATCTATACGGCAGCCAGCATCTGGGCACGTATGCAAAGGTGACGACGTTCACCACAGTGAACACACCCACGACAGTCATGGTCCTGATCACCAAGATTCAGCAGAACACTGGCGGGAGGGAAGAAGGGAGGGCCTGGAGAAATCGGCCATTGGAGCATCTCATCTTTGCTTAGGGGGCTGTGAACACAGACATCCAGACACGCCCCCTCCTCTTGGCAGCTCCCTCTGCACCATGCTGTCCTAGAAGGACAGACACTGGCCGGTGGCCACCTGCCAAGTAGGCCTGGCCAGGAGGCGAGGGAGGAGGGCGTAGGGGCCGTGGGAGGAGGTGGCTTAAGGGTTTTTCAGATACTGCCGCTGCCGCCACTCCTGTAGACTCTGGACTGCGGAAACTGGGAGCGCTCTGCTTCTGCCTTATAAAAAGCGCCTGGGCAGGGCGGGCCCGGTAGCCCCTGAGGCGGGTACCAGACCCGGGCCGAGTCCCGGCCTCCGCACCGCGCTGCCCCACCTCCACCTGTTGCGGAGACCGCGGCTGCGCTGGTTGGGGACACCGTGGGCTGGGCGATCGATCGCTGCTGGGCTGCAGAGATGGGCCGCTACTCCGGCAAGACATGCCGGCTGATCTTCATGCTGGTGCTCACCGTGGTCTTCTTCGTGGCCGAGCTGGTGTCTGGCTACCTGGGCAACTCCATCGCGCTGCTGTCCGACTCCTTCAACATGCTGTCGGACCTGATCTCGCTGTGCGTGGGCCTGAGCTCGGGTTACATCGCGCGGCGCCCCACTAGGGGCTTAGGGGCCACCTATGGCTACGCGCGCGCCGAGGTGGTGGGCGCGCTCAGCAACGCCGTCTTCCTCACAGCGCTCTGCTTCACCATCTTCGTGGAGGCCGTGCTGCGCCTGGCCAGGCCCGAGCGCATCGATGACCCCGAGCTGGTGCTCATCGTCGGCACCCTGGGGCTGGCAGTCAACGTGGTGGGGCTGCTCATCTTCCAGGATTGCGCCTCCTGGTTCTCCTGCTGCATCCCGGGCCGCCGCCGCCGCCCCCTGCAGCAGCCGCAGCCGCTGGACCAGGGCCCCACTCGTGCGCTTTTGGGGGAACCCAGGGCGCGGAGGGCCAGCAGTACATTGCAACCCCCGTAACCCTCGGCTCGGACTCAGCTGTGACCCTGCGGGGGTCCTCGGTGGAAAGAAAGCAGAAGGGGGCCACCGTATTCTCAAATGTAGCAGGTGCCTTTCGGTTGCATCCTTTGGACCGCTTTGCCCTTCCCTTTTCCTCCTCCTCCCTCCTCCCTCTGGTCCCTTTCTCCTTATCCCACGCCCTTTTTTTCTTTATATTTTAAATCTCCTTTGCAGTCTGCTTTACTTCTAACAATATATTCCCCACAATTTTTCTGTTTTCTTTTTCCCCCTGCCTCTGGATGCATGTGCCCTTATCCTCTTTTCTTTCCCTTCATTCTCTGAGTGGAAGTATCGATTTTCTTGGAAATCAGTTATTATTATTGGGCAATAGACAGCATTCCCCATGTCCCCTCCTGCATCGATTGCTGTCTGAACTTTGTTTCTCTCCTCCCCCTTTGCCATCCTCTGTCCCTTGGTGCTATGGGTTTTGGGGTGGGGGTGGGCTCCCACTGTTCTCCTCCCCCCTTTTTTTTTAATATGAGAGGAAGTGTGAATGAAGTCCAAAGGTGGATCCCAAGGCTCCTTTAGGGCCAAAATGTAGTCTTGTGGGCTGTGTGTGTGGAAAGAAGTAGGGCTACCATATATTAGTAGGAATTTAAAATAACAGAACTTTATTTTGAGTACCTTGGTTCTTTTTGTTTGTAGAACTTATACACAACACAAGGTTTCTTCTTTGAATGCAGGTGACTCCCTGACCACCCAGAATGAGCCTGAAGAGACTACAAAAAAGGAGAAAAAGTCTGAAGCCCTGAATATCAGAGGTAGGATTGACTGGGCCAACCTCAAATCCTAGTGATACATGTGGACTGTGCTGGGCTTTCTATTTCTGTTTGACTTTGACTTTGAGTAAAGCAAAGGTGTCTTTCAAAGTAAGCCAGTTACCCACACAGACTATGACCCTAATGTCTTGCCTAATCACTGCATTGATTCTGAGGGAGAAGCCAGTCTCTAATGATTTATCTTTGCTCTAATTACACCCATTAGAACACCCCCTGCTCCCACCTTCCACATGATAGTACCATCTTACTACTTTACCTGGTTTTGTCCATTCGTGGATCTTGCTAATCTACAATGCTGGGATGACAGGTGCGGGGCACCACTGTACCAGCTCATTGATTGAGATGGGGGGGGTCTCACTAACTTTTGGCCTGGGCTGGCCTCCAACTGAGATTCTACCAATCCCCTCCTTCTGAGTAGCTGGGATTACAAGCATAAGCCATGGAATTTGACCATCTTTCCAAATTCTTGGGCACAGATATTTGCTTTAGAGTGGTTCCAACAGGGTTTACTTTCCAATCTTGACTTTAAGAATTTTAACAAAAGTTATTACCTTCATATAGTTTGGGGGAAGCCTGGAGTGAGGCTTATATGGAAATAATGTAATGAAAACCTAATAATCCAGGAGATGCTTTCTACTTTGAGAGTCTCACATCTGATTTATAAAGTAATTATCAGAATGAATTCAGAGGGAAAATCCAGAAAACAACAACATATGAGCTCCTGAAAACATTCTAAATAAATTAAACATTTTTATTAGCATACATTAAAATACAAGGGGGTTTCACTGCATAAATAAATTAAAAATTTAAAAGTAAATTCGGTGGGGGGAGTTTGGTCTTCTGAAGAGCATGGTGGGAAATCTTTTCGAGAGAATCTGTAATGAAAATATAGATTTTATTTAATTTATCTTTCTTTTTTCTTGATATTTTACCTTTTATTTATTTTTTTGGTGGGACTGGGATTTGAACTCAAGGCTTCGGGTTTACAATCAGGAACTCTATTGCTTAAGCCACTCCTCCTCTTTATCTTTCTTTTTAAAGGTCCAGTTTAAATACACACACACACACACACACACACACACACACACACACATTAGATTGTTAAGGTTAAGTTCACTATCAGAGCCCTTTAACTTTTCAAAGCACATGCTGAAAATTACCTTCATTTTGTGTCTGAAAATTTAGAAAAAGAACAGGTAGGTAAAAAGAAGCAAAGAGTGACGAGTCAATCGATAGACTTTGTGACTTTGTTTGAGAAATTTGTATGGCCTTGCTAATTTGGGGGAGGATGTACAGGGGATGGGACCCAGGCCCTGGTGCATGCTCCAAGTGATCTACCCCTGAACTACCTGCCCCTCCCCCCAGCCTGCCTCAATCTAAATAATGGTCACTCCAAAGCTATTGGAGATCCTGGGTAGAAAAAAGTCAGTGGAAAGAAGTGTTTCTGTACCTGCTGAGCCTTTGGTCCGCAGGTATTTGCAAAGTGCACCTAGAGCTTCTGACAGAGGTGAGAGTACAGTGACCAAAAATTTGGGATTTGGCTTCAAGCTGTTCAAGTGTGAGTTCTGGCTCTGCCACTTAAGAACCAAAGGACTTAGGGTGAATGATTGAATCTCCTTAGGCCTCCAGGTCCTTCATGTTACAAATGAGGAGCATGAAGGCTAGAGGTGTGACTCAGTGGTAAAGCCCTAGTCTAGTGTGTGTGAGGACCTGGGTTCAATTCCCAGCACTGCAAAAATAAAAACACAGTAATAAAATAAAAGAGAATAGTCACAATACCATCCCATGGGCTCACAGTGAGGGAAAATGTGTACAGTGCTTAGGTTTATGGTGGGAAAATGAGCTAAGGCTTTCATTGAGTGACTACTTTGTGCCAGGCACCATTCATGAATGAGTCACTTAGTGTTGGCAACAACCTTCCTGGGTGGATACTGTTGCCATGCAGGGAGTGGAATTGCTGTTGTCAGGCAGGGAGTGAGTGAAATTGCTGCTCTAGTAAGGGTCAGCTCAGATCATCCCTACTGCTTCTCCTGAGTACCCTTGCTGTGCTCTCTGGAGCCTTTCTGTATCTGAAGCTAAGCATGAGTCTGTTGTCACCTTAAGCCCTGAGGCTTCTTGGTGCCACGATTCAGGGAGGGAATTTGGAATGTAAAAGCTGAAAAGACCTTAGAGCAAATGCATTTCCACCCTCCTGCTTTACAGATGAAAAAAACAGGGTCTACAGAATTTGATTACTTCTCCAAGTCCCCTAGGCTAGCAGCAGAGGTGCGCTGGAATCCGGGGCTCATCCTTCATTTTCTAGCTCTTTCCATGGTCACCCACTGCCTCTGGCCTCCAGAGGTGGCTTGCTTCTCCAGTGTACATATCTGGCAAATCATCTGAGCAATTTCTTGAGAAGGCAGGGTTGCTAATTGTTTTTTATGTACCACACACACAAAATTTACGTATGTAGTTACCAACACATACATACCTTGCCAATTTTTTTAAATTAAAAAAATGTTGACATTTATAGAGATGGTAAAGTTCTGGGGACTTTTCTACTCCAGGAGTTCTCAACAGTGTTACAATCACTGGAAAGAATGAGAGTAGAGCTATATATTGTACTGGGACTTGAATATAAGCTATTGTTTCATGTTCTATCCTTCAATAAAAATTTAGTTATGCCACCTTCAACAAAAAAAGCAGGGGTTGCCTCCTCCCACCCCAGGTCTACTAAGTGGTGATCTTTGTCTCTAGGTAATCTGTCAGATGGGTCTTTCTGAATCATAGGTATGATCACATCAGGGTTTGCCCAGAAAACTTTACTGCATTCAATAAAAGTCTGAACTCTGCTGGCATTCCGAGGTTTTCTGTGCCTTGCCAACACTCCTTTCTAAAACATTTCTGCCCTTTTCTTTACCCCTTTAATTGCCTCCCCTCCCCTCACTACCTCTTGCCTTTTCAACACTTACTGCTCAGTAGACGGAGGTGAGAAGTGCCTGACTTCCAGGTCAGGCAGATTTGCTTTGCATTCTGCCTCTGACTTTTCCTAGTGTGTAACCTAGGGCAAGCAACTTCTCTTGAGCTTCAGATGATAGTGGTTCAAATATCACTGTGTTGTGATGAGAAATTCATTTGTGCTTGGAACAGCATGGAGGACTGACTCAACAAATTACAATGGTATATCTCTGGAGAAGCAAGATTCTCAGGTTTTTCATCACAGATGGCCTTCTTCCTCCTCACAAGGTCACTGATGCTCTTATTGTTCACTATGATGACTACAAATAGCAGTAATGAAGTACACATTTCAAAAAAACTAGAAGAAGGGGTTTTCGGTATTTTATCATAAAGATAAAGGCTTGAAGCGATAAATATGTTTACTCTGATTTAGATATTATACAATGTATACGTTTCAAAACATCACATGGTGCCCCCAAAACATGCACAATTTTTCCAAAAAGCAGAATAATGTCTGTGCACTGTGGATCTCAGAGGGTAATGACCACATCCTCTTCGTATTTATATGGGAGTCCAGAAAACCTACTGCATCATTGCGTTTCAAGATTTTCAGGGGCTAGAGATGTAGCTTAATAGTAGAGTGCTTGCCTAGCAGGTGCAAGGCCCTAAATTTGACCTCCAGCCCCAAATAATAATAATAATAATAATAATAATAATAATAATAAGATAATAAGAAGGAAGAACTAAATGCACTGATGCTTTCAATAGGCTATTTTTATTTTTTATTTATTATTATTATTTTTGGTGGCACTGGGGTTTGAATTTAGAGCCTTTCACTTGCTAGCCAGTGCTCTACCTCTTGAGCCACTCCGCCAGCCCTGTCAGGCTGTTATTTTGTTTGTTTGTCTTTGGGGGGTTGTTTGGTGCTGGGAATAGAACCCAGGGCCTCATAATTGCTAAGCATATGCTCTGTCACTGAGCTATATCCGGAGCCCTCCACAGTTTTTCAAACTGAAGGTCAAGACAGTTTGTGTCTTAAAGTTCACTTACTCGAATATGATTAGCATTTGGAACAGTAATTAGAGTTAAATGAAATAAAATAGAAAAATATTAATAAATCATACATAAGGGGAGGTTTTTTTTTTTGCTTTCTCATGAATTATTTTCTTCACTTTGTGTCTTTCTGTGTGCTAGGATGTAAAATAAAATTCTTAGTGTGAATTGTGGGAAGAATGAGTTTGAAACCTATTATTTTAAATGTGCTTGAAAGCTGCTGTTTTTTGTAACTCTTAGCGGCCAGTGGTGGCACTTCTCAGAAGGAAGACCTGAAGTTGGAATTTAGAACTTACTGGAGACAGGAAGCATGGTGGTCCACTAGTCAGACTTCCTAGGCTTAGATCCCCTGTAACAATTTCTAGCTGTATGATCTTGGATGAGTTGCTGAGCTACTCTGTGCCTCAGTTTCCTCATTTGTGACAAGACAGAAACCACGTCAGAGAGTCCTTCAGAAGACTTAATGTATAAATAAGCTTAAAGCAATGCTTGGTGCATACATGTTGGTTAGCATTATAACGAAGGCAGGAGTTAGTCTATGTCATAGGAGTTATGATTTACCAACCAGAAAATGTTATTTTATAAGTGCCTACTTTGTTCACTTCTTTAATATAAAGAAGGAAATGCTGGTAAGACCCTGATCCTCACGTTACTTATGGTCTTATGGAGGAAATGAGGCTAACATGCATGAGACAGAGAATAAAAGACTGTCTTAGGTTGTGACAGTGATGCCAAGTGTGTATAGGAAATATTAGGTCATCCTATTTATGTGGTAGCATTTTGTTCTGTCCTGAAGAAAGCTAAAACTTCAATCCTTAGCTCCTGCTAGAGGAATAGGTGGGCAGAACAACTCCTGGGAAAGTTTTGACTTTATGTCAAAACTTTTCTGTGCCTCAGGACATGGACTATAAAGGAAGAAGAACCTGTGGGAAAAGGTGGAAAAGGGAGGCACAGGATTACAAAATGAGAACGTTTCATGTGTATATTAAATCAGGACTTCATTATCATAAGTAATCACTCAGCCAAAAGGAAACATGGTGATTCTTTTATATTCCTGCATTTTTTTGAGGGGTAGTTTACAAATTACATTTAGTCTGTTTATAAAATAGTTTTTACATGATATTACTCAGAATCCTGGAAGTAGTGCCAACCAGAGCAATTAACCCAATTAAAACGCCTTCAACTGAGTGTGGTGGCCCATACCTATAATCCCAGCACTTGGGAGGCTGAGGTAGAACGAGTGTGGGTTTGAGGCCAGCCTGGGCTGCATAGAAAGACCCTGCCTTAAAACAAACAAACGAACGAACAAACAAAATAAAATGCCTTCCAAGGGAGAATGTTTAGTTTCTGTCGTGAGTGGGTAGTCAATACTTTAGATTATTATTAACTCTACTGAGTGAATCTGTGGGAGATACATACAAAGACAAAGCAGCCCCACAGTTTGGCCTGGTGACAGGTACCAATTCTACCACTGTCACACCAGAATGGAACATGGTGTGACTATAAAATGGCAACTTTCAGATATTTGGTGGTTTTCAGATATGTATACCCTTGATGGCCTGGACAGGTTGTCTGGACTGGACAGGTGGCTTTTTTTTTTTTTTTTGTGGTACTGGGGTTTGAACCCAGGGCCTGCACCTTGAGCCATTCCACCAGCCCTTTTTTGTGATTTTTTTTTCAATATAGAGTCTTGCAAACTATTTACTTAGGCTGACTTTGAATCATGATCCTCCTAATCTCTGTCTCCTGAGTAGTGTGAGCCACCTGCATCTGATTGGCTTTTTTTTTTTTTAAGCTGTCTTTGTACATAGCCTGTGCTGGCCTTGAACTCCTAATCTCCCTGTCTTAACCTCCTAAGTGCTGGGATTACAGATGTGTACCATTTCATCTGGCCACAGGAAGTAAACATAAAAATTAAACCCTCCTTTTTTTTTTTTTTGGATGGTACTGGGGTTTGAACTCAGAGAGATGCTGTACCACTTGAGCCATGCCTCTAGCCCTGAACCTACCGACTGGCATGATTTCATGGGATTTTCTAGACTGAGTGAAAAGCAAGAAGCCATTTTCAGGTCATGCCAGGATGCCTGCAGGCGTGTAAGACTGTTCCTAACAGCATCTTCTGGACGCTTATGCTATGTGTTTAACATTGATTCTGGCGTTACCCTCTGTGAACAAATACTTTGTGTCCATATTTCATAATCCCTCTCACCAGATTCCCACCACATTTACCAAATTCCAACCTAAGCTGAACAATTAATTGGGTACCCAGATCATTGCTGTGGGTTGCATATTTTCTGTATATAATTGATACCGTCAGAAAGAGTTCCCTTAATTAAAGATATCCACAATTTTTATTTTTTCCTTTCTTTTCATTTATTTGCAGTGCTTGGGATCAAGTACTTGTGCATGGTGGACAAGCACTGTGCCACCAAGTTACATCCCCAGTTCCACACTTTTTATTCTTATCTGTAGAACTTCAATTTTATTTTATTGTGATAAATGGCTCTATGTGCAATTTTACTAGAGTTCCCGTTCTTGAGACCTTCTTAAACCAAATTCCATTGAAATGACCAAGGCTGAGAAAAAGTAGGCAAATGCTTATAGGGAAGGGGGAGAATGGATCAAGGTAGAGGGAAGACAGAATAAAACAAGCCACTCTTTTAGCTGGCCAAGGGGCTCAAGTGATAAGAGTACCTTAGCAAGTGTGAGGCCCTGAGTTCAAACTCTAGTACCACCAAAAAAAAAAACCAGAAAAAAAAAAGAACCGCTCTTTCAATTTAGCTTAGTTCTATCTCCTCTTAAAAGTGTTTAAAATAATTTAAAGTATAGGTACTTGTCTGAAACAAATCAGTCAGGTAGCTTCTGTTTTTCCAGCGTGGTATCCTCTGATGGGTGGCAATAGGAGATAGCACAGTCATTCTTCCTTCAGGTGACAGCTATCCAGGCTGGTCCTCTTTCTGGGCTCTCTGGTTCCTAGGATGGTGGCCTGCGGTTTTGTTTTCTGAGAAGTTGTTGCCATTATTTTTTCATTCTGATCCATCCTGGTGTGGAAAACAGATAGTAAGAGGTATTCGTGTGCTTGGAAGTCCTACTGGCTAAGTGTCAGAGAGTTCCCACACTTGGTTCTGTGCTTTATCGGTGTGTCTTTCTTCTCGGCAGGTGTTCTTTTACATGTGATGGGAGATGCTTTGGGGTCTGTGATTGTGGTCATCACGGCCATCATATTCTATGTGCGTCCCCTGAAAGATGAAGACCCATGTAACTGGCAGTGTTATATTGACCCCAGCCTGACTGTTGTCATGGTCATCATTATTTTGTCATCTGCCTTTCCACTCATCAAGGAGACTGCTACCATTCTGCTGCAGATGGTCCCCAAGGGAGTCAACATGGAAGAGCTGAGTAAGTGGACTACATTCTGATATAGAACCACTGTCCATTTAATGTTACTTAAGGTACAGGGCCAGCACTAGTGTGGAGCAGTGTTTGGCTTATGCATTTAGAAATACCTGAAATCACTGTGTGAAGGTGACATCCATTGTGTGATTGGCAGCCTGATAAGAAGATTTCCAGGTCCAAGAACCAAACGCCCTTGGTAACCCATGATTCTCTGACCCAATTGCACACTTTTGAGAAAGTGTTGCTGGGCTATTTGCCCTCATACCAAAGATTTATTTTACTTCTCCTTGATTTTCACTCTGTGTTTTTCTGAAAATGGGAATCACTCATGTTCTAGATTCTGCCTTCAAAGGGCATGCAAGTCTTCCTGACTCTCATACTACTGTAGAAAGGGCAGCAGTCGAAATTCAGATCCTTCTTCATTAATGAAATCTGTCTCTTCACTTTGCTCAAACAGAAGTCAAACTCTCACTTTAGTGCATCTGAAGGTAAAAATTTTAGAGACTTTGTAGAATTTCTAAATGAAGACTGTTTAGATGTTGGTGAGAAACTGAATATAATTTGTTTCTGGTGTTTCTAAATGGAGATTTTACTTTTATAGAACAAAACTATTTCCTGCATATATGTCATTGTTTTATTTACATTGCTTCATCAGTTAGCCAGTAGGGATGAAATAGAAGATCAAAGGCCTATTTCATGACTCATACCTGATATTCAGTTCAAATGGATCATAATATGTTGTATGGCTGTGGTTAGACTGCCCTCTGATAGAGGGGTAGTTTGTAATGTGACTTCTTCTTCTTCTTCTTTTTTTTTTTTTAATGCTGGGGTTTGAATCCAGGGCCTCTCATATGCTAAACACATGATCTCCCTCTGGGCTACAACTCCAGCCCCAGTGTTGCTTTTTAGTTTTGAAGCTTACAGCCCTGTGGGTGCTGTATTTACTAGCTCTCATTGGTGCTAGTCTGAGGAGTCATTGCCAACAGCTGCATCTCCTAAGGTCCTTTCTCCTGGATGTTCTATTGCCTTGTTTGGCCCCTATTCTGGGAACATTGTCTCTAAGAGTCACTGAGGTGTGGTCAGTGCTCTGGTTGCTTTAAAATAACCAACCTCCATTTCCTGAGCACCCGCTAGCTGCCCAGTGCTGTAGGCAGAGGAGGTGGTAGGAGGTGAGGGAGATGGAGGGAAGCAGATAGGGGGCTTCACCTTTGCCTTCTCAGGATCTGACTTGCCTCCCAGTTGAGGAAACTGAGGCACAGAGGGGGTGAGGTCAATTGCCTGAGTCATGCTGGTTGTCAGTGACTGCACTGGGATTCCAACTCCAGATGGCTACAGGGTCTTTGCTCATAAACCTGTTCTAATCATCTCACCAAATACAGTCATTTCAGAAAGTGTGGAAAATGAAATGCAGAGAAACCAAAATAAGAAAGGAGAAGTCTCTAATAATTCCACCATGGAAATTGGCACCCTTAATATTTTCTACATACACTGTATGAAAAATTTTAAAAAGATCATATATGTAGTTTGGCTATTTGCTTTTTCACCTCAAAATATTTATGTACATTTTCTCATATTCTTATATATGTAAGTTACTTTTTAAATACCTGTATCATGTCCTGTTGTAGAATTGTTTTAACTATTTTCTTGTTGTTTCTGTTTTTCATTAATGCAAAGAGCATTGCTGAAATAAACCACTTTTTGCACATAGCTATTTGGTTATCCTCTTTGCATTAAATCCTTAGTATGAGAATTGTTGGTAAAATTTTTTTGATCCATATTGCCAAACTATCCTTTTTAGAAAAGGTATTCCACTTCATGCTCTCATGGGAAGCCCAACAGAGTCTCCATCTCTTTGTATACCCAACAGCTCTGGCCATGACTTTTTTTTGTTGTTGAGCTGATTTTCTTGAATTACTTTTTTATGAGCTAATAATACATGGTATAGGAATTCAGAGAGAATGAAGAAGGTAATGGGAAGATGTTTTCCTACAGAGAGAACTATTTTTTTCTTCCTGTTAGTCTTAGTACTTGCACAGCCATTTTGGTGAACACATTTAAGCAACATACCTTCCTATGGTTCTGTGTTTCAGTTACCGCACTCACAGTTGGCTATCGTTTGCTCTTCTCTGTTTTAGTGAGTAAACTCTCTACCGTGCCTGGAATCAGTAGCGTGCATGAGGTGCACATCTGGGAACTTGTAAGTGGAAAGGTCATCGCCACCTTGCACATCAAATACCAGAAGGACACGGGGTATCAGGATATCAGCACAAAAATTCGAGAAATCTTCCACAATGCTGGAATCCACAGTGTGACCATCCAGTTTGAGAGAGTGGACCTGAAGGAAGCCCTGGAGCAGAGGGACTTAGCTCTGCTCTGCAGCAATCCCTGCATCTTCCCCAGCTGTGCTAAACAGCTGTGCTGTCCCCCTGGGGCACTGCCACTGGCTCATGTCAATGGCTGTGCTGAGCACAATGGCTGTCCCCCTCTGGAGACCTACCAAAGTAAAAGTGACATCACAGAGGTGGCCATCGACATGTTTGTGGATGGCAGTTTGACTGACCATGGCCAAACGCTTACCAAAACTCAGAAGGAACAATGCGAAAACAGTACATATTTTTAAACTGGCATCCACATAAAATCAGAATGTAGAGATGGAGCACGTTGAATCACCAGCTTGGCTTGTGGAAAGAATTTTGAGGGTTGTGGGCTCAGACTGAACTTGCACTCTATGTGTTCAGTAAGGGCTGGCTGCTTGGGAATTTAGTGGAACACATCTGTTTATTTTCATGTCTGGTCACCCCTTTCTATTACCTTGGGTATCTCAACAGTTGGGTATCTTCAACAGTTTTGAGTTGGAGCATGGGTTTTCTAAAGCAAACTGCTCTGGCGTATGTGTCAGGGGCATCCACTCTGTGGACACAAGACTCAAAGTAGTTCTGAGTTTTGTTTTCTTTGCAGTGCTGGGCATTGAATCCATAGCCCTCATGCGTGCTAAGCAAGTGCTCTACCACTGAACTGTACCCCCAGCTCTTGTTTTTAGCGTGATAGAACTTTCAGCTGACTCTCAGGTGAGATCATAGGCTAAATATGTAGAAAAAACTGAAGTACTATAATACCTGTGGGATTTTTTTCCCCCATTTCCCTTGGAGATCATGAATGAGGAAAATTAGGTATTTGTGGCACTGCAGAAGTATCTTTTCTTCTATTCACTTACAGATAAATGTAAAATGAATACCCATTAAGATGAATACCTTTTAAGGTAGACAATGTTCTCAGAATGTTGGAGGAGGAAGAGTTTAGTAGGGATAGGCAGAAAAATGTTTTCTGATCATCTCTTTATTTTGTGAGGTGAGAGAAAACAAATTTTTACTTTCTGCTGGGAACAGATCTGCAGCTACAACGTGTTTGAGTATTTAAACATAGAATAATTCTCTTTGCTTGGAAGTGTGAGGACATTCCCACTTCCTTACATATGGCACAAACACTTACTCACTGTTTTTGAGAGTTTCCAGTTGAGATTCTTGTCACTTATAGCTTTGATAATGATATACTATTTGTCCAAATTTCCTTAGCCTCCTTTTATGTGATCACATTGGTCAACACAGCATTTACAAGGGGAAATGGATATTCTTGGGACAGGAGAATACATGACATTGTGTGCTTATTCCTTCCCAATCAATAAGCTAGACTACCTTTCTTTAATTAAACATAATTTGAAGTATTTATTATAGTTGCCAACACTTGATGTCCAAGCAAGAAATGAAAATGAATTTGTCTGCTGCTTTTAATGTGTTTAGAATTTTCTTTTATGTCTCTTACCCATATTGCCAAGTTCAAATAAATTTCTTATAACCTGATTCAAACACTTAACTGAACTATAGTAGTGGTGGAGGAACATCCATCTGTCATGTATTTAGCACATCAGTATTTAAATCAAACAGCCTTACGGGGATGAGAAAATGAGGGTTACCTTACTTAAAGAGCTAGCATCCTCTCTGATAGGTTACAAGATTAAAAATGATCTCCTGGGCTGTAAGCCTTGGGTCTTATTTAGAATCTGCTAAAACTCATTTTAGAAGTACGGGGATCATAATAGCAGCAGTATCCACATTGTTTCAGCACAAAGATCATTTAAAAATTTTTGTCTTTATTGGGCATCGTGGCTTGTGCCTATAGTTCCAGTTTCTTAGGAGGCCAAGGCAGGAGGATCCCTTGAACCTAAGAGTTCAAGGCTAGCCTGGTAACATATTGAGAACCTGCCTCAAGACAAAAAGTTTTAGTCCTAAATTTTAATACTGATAAGTAAGCTGCTGTGATCAGTAGTACAGAAAAGTCTTTGTTCCTTGGAAGTTTATTCTCTAAGTTTAAATTGGCTATGGATAATTAAATAGAAAAATAAGATTTTATGCACTTTGTAAGCTAAAAAGGGAATGAAAATAATTCATGACATTTCTACTTTTAGTATTAAAAATGTGATATATACTCATATAAACCATAGGATTTTCTAAGAAACTCACCACAGTGATATATGAGCCAAATTCCGCTACATAAATGCTGTTTGAAATGCTGCATCTAGAGCCAAAGCAGAAATTTGTTACTTCCAAGTGGAACTCACTTCATTCTGTCTTTATTAAAAAGGAAAAATGTAATTTCCAGCTTTTCTGCTACTGGCCAATGGGGTGCATTTTAGTTTGTATCTAAACAATGTTCTTTAATCTCTGAAGTATTTTTCTGGAAAAGAAAAGGCACTTAATTCCATCATAATTAAATCTAACCTCAGAAAATTATCTTGATTGACACTTATATAACAAATTGTAGGCAAAGGTCAATGTGAAATAATGCCTTTTAAAGACAGTTTTGTTGAGTGCAGGTTTTTTTTGGTTTTTTTTCGGTATTAGGGGTTAAACCCAGGTCCTTGCACGTGGGACACTATTACTGAAGCCAGGCTCCCAGCCCTTTTGTTTTTGAGATAGGGTCTCACTCACTCTGCCCCAGCTGGCCTTGACCTCAGGATCTTCCTGTCTCAGTCTCACAGGTACCTGGGATTACAGGCATGAACCATACACTTGTCTCTGAGTGCCAAGCAAGCTGTGTAAGTGCAACAGTGTTGAATTGGGTTAGATGGGGTGCATTTGCTACCTCTGTCACGGTGATGCCTGCTGAATGAATGGTATTTTCACTTAGGTTTTACTCTCCCTTCAATTTTCCTGTCTTTTAATTCTCCTAAGGAAATGCAACAGTTTTCTTCTTCCCTCCGAATCAGCCCTGCTTGCTGGCAGTAGGGTTTCCTCTGAGATTAGAAAAAACACGGCCACACAGTTTGCGTTCCTGTGTGCTTACGTTCATTCTAGAAAATTCCCTCCTTTTTTTTAAGTACTGTTTTTTTTTTTCTCCCCTTGGGGATCAGTTCCAGGGTCTAGCGTGGGTGAGACACAGTTCTACTGTGGAGTCACAGTCTGAAAATATTTTTTATACGGCGCATGGCATCCTTTGTCTGACAGTCAAGACCAGTCGTCCTGCACTAGCCTGGTCATCTATCCTTCCAGCATTTTCCACTGTCTCCTGCCCTTCTTCACTAGAACAGTTCCTCTCCATCTCATTTCAGCACCAGCTATAGGAAGTACTAAGTCTGCTTCATTTTCCAACTTCAGGCTTTGTTTTTCAAAATAAAGATTATTTTTCCTGACAGTTGGCTATCATGAATACCCACAGAGCTACCAACCTCCACTGCTAATAGGAAAAAAAATACTGTCCTTCTAACTTTTTGGTAAAATTCCAACAAAATAGGAAGACATCATGTGAGGAAGAATTTTTAAATATTCACCATATTTACTTTTTTTTGGTCACTGGTTGAGCAAACTCTACTCGTAGTAATTAGGAGCTCCAAAATTCAATAGGATGAATGTTTTGAATGTCTAGAACATCACAGAGGTAGGTTTGGGATGATAAAAAGGCAGCCGTCTTGTGAAGTGGAAAGGGTTTCTCGATCAGCGATGCCAGCATTATCCCCCCCCAAGTTATGACAACCAAAATTGTCCCCAGACATTGCCACATATCCCTTGGGGGAATGTTTTGCCCTTAGTTTAGAACCACTATCTAAAATTGAATAGTCGAGGAACACTAAGGTTCACTTTTTAAAGACAATATTTTTATGTTTATTTTATGTTTTGGTGCTGAGGGTAAAACCTAGGATCTTGCACATGCGAAGAATGTATATGTGTTCTACCAGGGAGCTACACTCTCCCCTAGCCAAACAATGGTCTTAAAGGTATAAAAATTACCATTGTTCCTACATAGGGACTTTTTTTTTTCAGTACTGGGATTGCCTTGTGCTTGCAACGTAGGCATTCTACTATTTGAGCCATCGCGCCAGCCTTCCACAAAGGAATTTTGAACATTTAAAGAAAAACATATAATTTGAGGGGAAAAAATCCTTTACAAACACTATTTTATACATCAGTCATTAGGATAGTAAATGAAATGAAGAAAACAGAATTTGTTCTCACTGTTCTGTGGTGATTTCTCCAACTTATGAGTATACTCAACTTGATGGGCCTACTAGTAAATGAGACTGAATTATAACAGCACAACTGATTCTTAGAGTAAGGGGTTTAATTCTTCATATTTAAAATGACCAATCAAATGGAGGAGGCTAAGTCAGCAAAGTGAGACCCTGTGTCAACAAATTAAGACTAAACAAAACTGATTTAAAGCTTGATGATATTTCTTCTTATTACTTTCTGATAAGCAGCTCATCTTAGTGCTTCTGACAAGTTTAGACATTAAAATAATCCTTTATTGTTTATGACTAACTTAATCCATTACTGAATCCTATTTTCTCTGAGAGGGCAAAATTTATTAACTGATTTTGAAAGTATCTGGCTCTTAAATGCATTTTCACACCCTTGTAGTTGAAGATTGCAAAAAAGACAAGTTAGAAAAATGAGTAAACATTTCCTGACTGCATACCTGTTCTTCTGCCATGTTCTGCCTTTGGCCTGATCAACTGTCACCACTTTGTAGTTGTAAGTGTATTTATACCTGAGTGGCAATTGGTGGGAACGAGGTAACTGAGCCAGGAAACTAGTTCCTCAAAAGGAACTTGCATCAGACCACAATCCTCAATGTAATCCAGTGTTCTTAGGAATTTGGAATTTAGCTGATGCTGATATGTCACTTTCTGACACTTCTCTTTCCAGGTGTTTTAACCCGAACTTTCTTGTTTACATGGAACTTTCTTGAATGTTTGCTAAATAGTCAACTGTCACCTTTTAGTAGAAAGCCAGGCCATAGACACTGAAGCTATGCTGAATTCTCATGAGAACAACCTAGAAAGGATGATTTTCAAGGGGGAATGTCCCCTTCTGGAGGTTTGAGGTTATGTTACAGTATTGTGGAGTTTTGTTGCTTAAAGTCCTCCTGTCCTCACAGGCAACTTTGCCAAAGTATAATCATCATGTTTTGGGGGAATTGTTAAAAGTTTAGGACACAGAGTTTAAATAACTCACACTAATTGCATGTGAATCGCTCAACAATGTATGTACGTACGTAAGCCTTTTGAAGGTAAAAGATGTTCAATGGTGCTGCAAATAAAAATTTTTTAAAAATAGAATTATGACT